GTAGAACAGGGTCATTATATATTTTTTTTTCTAGTAACTGGGCTTTTTATTTGCTGTTTAGCAAAAAAAGTTTGAACTGTAAATATTAATCAAATGGTCTTCTGCTAGTTACAAAAATGCCTGAAACGTATTACAATGCTATTATTTTTATGTTGCCCTTTTTAAAGTGAAATTCTAAATGAAACATTGTGTTATACAGTTTGAACATCATTGCAGATTTGCCATTATATTATGTAGTAGAACATCAAATAATTGGAAATTTATTTTCCCATTTTGTCCTATCTAGGGTATCTGACCACCTTTGACACAACTTTGAAGAAATTGTTCCATTTTTGTTATTTCTAAGATTTCTTTTGGCGTATTTCCTATCATAACATTCCTCAAGTATCTGCCCCAGGACTTTCAAAGTTGCTAATAATAAGCTTCCAAGTAACAACCCGATCACTATTTTTATTGTATAGCTTCGAATGGTTTGGAAGTTTCATGCGATTGCAATGTCACATTACTAAACATGTTGTTAGCTAGGCAAAATCATTTAAAGAAAACATGTCAAAAACAAAATTCTTTAAAAAATCAATGGTGTCAATATTTACACAATCTTTCTTAAATAAAATTCTGAAATTTTATGTTTTGTCACTTTTGATTTGATTTGATTTAATGCTAACAATTTTAAACTCTACCTTACAGTTTATTCAAATGTAGAAAAAAATATGTTTATTTTTGTTTTCTATTAATCGAACGAATCACGTCATAGTCTACAATCAATATTGACGTCATGATTCTGCCGTCCAACAGCAGTTCAAATAAAATAAATCGTTTAAATCCCATATTCCGTCCCAGGACACGCGTAAAGCTTCTAGTCTTTATTAAAAATCCTATCTGTCAATTTGACGTATGCATGTTATCAGTCCGTTTGAAACCTAGCTATCTTGTCAATATAAATTCTGTCAAAACTCAACATGAACAATCGAGGTTTTATTTTTTGAAATACTGATAGAAATATATTTTACGCTTCCTGGGTTAGAAAACCCATAAAAATAGGGGTTTTCATGATTATGTTTAGCAGTTAAAAGTATATTTAAATAGAAGTATTTCTTATTTTAGATAAAAAAAAAAATATTAGCTACGGCTTGGATTTAAAACTATAAAAAGCCAGTGTCATAAAATAAAGTTCGCCAGGTTTGCAAGCACTAACTGGGGCGGGTGTTAATCGTGTTTATAAAGGTACTGGTTGTTGTCTCGGTTTCGCGCTGGGAGCCATAAAGTGAGCTGTTCGAAAATATATTCATGAACTTTATTCCCACCCTGGATATCAAATAGGTAAATATAGGTGTGCTAGTCTAAAATTGAGAATTCTATCAGATATTTATGATGATTTGTTTGATGTTTTGATAAACCATAAAATATCTCTCTCTTTTATCGTTATACAATTTCACTGGTGCATAGTCCTTTGCTTGTTTAGCCGAGGAAAAAATAATTTAAATACGATTGAAATGTTTTCGGGGGTTTACCATGGCATGCAATGAAGTTTATTTTTATAATTAATCCGTAAGAGGAGTTTTTGTATAAAACTTAAACTAGTTTATACATTTTCCTAACCATAAATTATGAAGAAATACTTAGTTATACTCTGTTCTAAATTTTATCCACCGGTTTTTGGTGGTTTAAGGGTAAACTCCCCCAAAACATTTCTTGACCATCAAAACATAGAATTTCACAATGTTTCTTTAAACTATTTGGTAGAGCTTCAAGAAGCAATTAATTTAGTATAGTATTTCTGTACGGTTATTTTTCAATGAAAAAAAATTCGTCAAGTAAAAATTTCTATGTTATTCTTAGGGAAAGTTTTGTAAACTATTTTAGTTTGCTTTTTTATGGATATATTTTTATAAAATTTTGCAAGTTTATTAGTTTTGTACTATTATTATTTTACCAAAACACACTTTATTGCCCTCCCTTTAGCAGCAAACCTATGTACTCGTTAAACCTAATGTTTTTTTTATTGTTTAGTGAAAATCAAATCAGGCAAAAGGAAATTCGCTAGTGTGCAGGTTTGCTGCGTTGGAGTTATTTTTATTCAAGCTGTTGACATATTGTTTTAGGGTGGGGTAAAGTAACGGGAAAAGATTTCTTCCCATAGAACCGTATACATTTTGCAAACGGAGTGTATATAATTTTTGTGTACCTTACATTATTATTATCAATAATCATGAAACACTATCAACCTTGGTTCTTCCCTTACTCGTATCATGTATTTTTCTCACAGCCATACTAAACTAAAACGCTAATCATAACCTTTGTAAACATGTTATTACCTACGCACGTGTAATGCACGGTATACTGCGAGTGGATATTCGAGAAGGGTTAGAGGGGAGTTTGAATATTGCATTATGAAGACGAAGTAATAAAACACAAGCACCGCTGCAGGTGGGAATAGAGCCCCTTTACGTTCTGTTTTCCTCTGACTGTAGGACGAGGTACAATAACAGACTAGCAATGCTGTGCAACGGTTATGCGTTGTGTTGTACTTCAGTTTCTTATGTAAAATCCACGCTTGCTTTTAATACTCTTATGAAGGCGAAAATTTATGGATTATTCGTACAACATTCGTAATACTGTTGTTGCTTTTGAGTATTGTATCGTATAACTAGCTGTTGTACCCGTGCTTTGCAACGGGAAGAGGACACAAAATAGAAAAATTTTAATCTTTACATATGTTGCATATAATAGTTACACATCACCCAAAGTCAGCTGTTATAAACAATAGAAATATTGCTATGCCTTATTAATACAGTCTTCTGAAATATTAAAGAAACTATATCTATAGGTACTATAAAAAAATTAAACAAATAATTTAGCATTAAAGACAGCAGACAAAACTAATATGATTATCAAAGCATCAAGGACTAAAAAATGTAATAGCAAATACAGTAGCCTATATGTTTCATTGCATCTCTGATTCTACTCTACAAAAATAGCAACAAACAACTTAATATACAAACCAGTTCTTTTAATCAGTTCCATCTCCATTGCCTTTACATTTTCTCACTTACCATTAAGTAAACATAGTTACAGATATTTCATTGATTTTAGAAACAAAAGAACACTGTGTACCGCTTAGTTTTATGATATATTCCTTGGTTTAATTTAATCAGTGGTGTAGCAAAACAAATAATAAATGTATTAAATAAAGTAAAAATGTGAACTGAAAGCTATGTCAAGATAAAGTAAGAGTATTTTGTATTACCATTTGATAATTAAATATACACATACACAACAGATTTTAGAAAACAAAAATCAAATTTAGTCATTGATGATATTCTTTAGTTTAATTTAAGCATAGGTTTAGCAAAACCCAATAACTAAATATACCTAAATATACATCTAAAAAAAATGTGATGTGCAAGTTATGTTAAGTTAATCTACTGTAACACGTCATGTTAAGCAGTTCATATTTATTTAAATTAGCCTCCAAATTCATACGAAACATCTATACATTGTAATTTTCATACTGTTTCCATGAAAACATATCAATAACATTATTTTCATAACTTTAGACGCTTTAAAAAATCCAAAGCAGAGCCAGAGTTGATACAGCAACATTTATAGAAGCTTTTTTTCTATAGTCATTGACATAGTTTTATAATAAATAATCCATGATAAAAGGTTAGATTAAAATAAACCTACTTCATAGTTATGGAAAATATTATATTTAATTTCTTTGTATCAGCTGTCTGAGATTGTGAAATATGCAGTTTAGCAGTTCTTCTTGTTTACATTTAAATGTCAAAGCAAATGTAAACAAACATTGTTAGTGTTTTCATGGAGACCAATCAATATTTACTTTTAAAAAGTTCACCTCAGAACTTATAAAGCCAAAGGGGCAAAGCCTACGGTCAGTATCGAAATGTGAATAGTCCTATAATGGTCCTTGGTATGGTAGCTATATTTTTGTAAAATTTAAGCCAAGTTGGTTCAGTAGCTTTTGCACCTATTAGTAACACACATACAGACAGACACCATTAGATTTTTATATAATAGTATAGATTTTTACAGTTATTATTATTTTAATCACACAGAGGAAGGAGAATCATGCAAATAAGATAACAAGACCTAGACGAAAACATGAGAATATTGTTTTATCTAGTAACATTAAAATATACATATAAAAATAAAATACTGTAAGTTAGGAACAGGGACTAAATAATGTATACATAGTACTTTACAATAAAAATAATTACTCTTGTCATGTCATGTGGCGACTCTTGATCATATACTATTTCTATTCACTAATGTCTAGTCAAATTGCTTCTCGTTCTCATATTTAATAAATTGCTTAAAAGAATGCTTGAATGTTGTAATATTATGAAAAGAATGATAAAAAACATTAATAGAAATAAATACAGTAACAAGACTTAACCTTTTAATTAATTGTAAACTCGGAATAATGAAAAACTATAATAATTAAGAACATGTTGCCTCCTTAGGCAACATGTGAGAAAATTTGACATTTTACTAGCGTTTATAAATCTTTTAAATTACATATGATATTTGAGGGAAAAGGCTCATAATGGGGCAAAGAAAATGATGATAATGTTGTCACTAGTGTTGCTAGTTTTGTTATGTTTAATTCCTTATCCATTCCGCACTTGCTTAAAAAACGACTATTTTGTTCCTCCTTTAGAAGTAACAATGTCAGTCAATGATGTTTCCATTGTTTTTTTTTTTATTACTGGGACTAATATAATCTTAGGTTCAATAAACTTAGAAAAACTGATTGAAATTGAATGGACTGTGTAAACTGCTAAAACATGTTTTATAATCGACTGAATGCCTGATTAACAGTTAATACCGATGTATAAAATTTGAAGTTCTATTATAATCCTCTAAATAATATCTAACTCGATGACTATTTACCCGTCCAATGGCATTATACGAAATCATTTTTCATAAGTTACTCTGTTCAACCATGTTTCAACCATTTTGTAATTTGATTACAGGATGATTTGAGTACGCGAGAGTGTTCCAAGATGGCGGCTACAACATGGACCTACGTCGTTGTGCTGTGGCTCTTCCTTCTATATCTACTTTCACCCTCTTTGGCCGCCAGATATAATGGTAAGTTAACGTGCTATACATACAATGTAAAACTATTTAGGCCTATTTATAATTTTAGTTTTTATAAATAATTTTAGTTATGTACATACAATTAAAGTAAAATAAATAAGCTTATCTAACAGTAAATTGTTATATCTAACAGTATAAAATTGGTGAAAATAGGAAAAATGTTGGTAAGATAATCTAGAGGAATCAATTCTTTGATCATATGAAAGTTGCACACATAAACTAGGTTGAGTAAATCTGTGTTGTTTCTTAAAGGATTATTTGATCAATTATTGTTCAAAATATTCGAAAAAAGTCCACGGTCACGAACTGTAATTCCAGATCCAAAAACGTTGTAATTTTAACTAGGCTAATCGTTATGAAACATACTATTTTAACTTAACGTAAACTTACAATCCCAATAAGATACAAGTAAATTTGTTTGGAAATCGCCGAAACAGACGCAAAAGGAATGTTAACGTGTTTCAAGATTCTATTGCCATGCCGGGACCACACTACCACAATTACCATCAGTGATGTCAATCGTCAGGTGGCGTGACTGCGGAGGCTATGTCGCATTGGGTCGTTCCCTTCCTGCTTTATTGCCCTAATGAATGAAATTGAGGCGTATCGATCTACAAGTGGGCAACTAACGAGTATTATAATGAACCGATTGTTGAAATTGCTTAGGTAAATACACTGAATGTTATCGCTTTTTTGTTACAGCACGCTAGAAAGCAAAAAGTTTATCAATTATTCAAAACTGCCATGTTTAAGTTAGAGAAAATAACCAACAAAGTAGTGCTGAGTGGTGTAGTGGCTAGGCTAGGGAATGTTTTTAATTTAGTTATTGGAATATACGTTTGAAAAAAAAAATTAGCTTACTTTTAAATAAATGTATTATTTTACTCCGTAAAATGCTTCGGCAACGGGGACTCCTGAAAGTAGAGCAGAAACAAATCAACTTGGATTATCGTTGAACAGAGTTTAAGTTCAATAAGCCAAACAATCTTGAAGCAAGTTAAACCCCAATCTCTACTAGTTTTGGTTGAACGATACAAGATCAATACTGTAGGTACTTGTCCAGAAACAGGTTTATAGGTCAGTGCATCATCATGCATTTGATTCCATGCTTAAAATAGTAACAATAAGTTTAATAATACTTTTTTGGCTTATTTTTTATATTGGTTAGTTTCTTGGACAGTCTCGGGATTTGTGAAGTTTTTGGCAGGTTTGATATTTAGCATACGCCCATCTCAGGCAATGAGGTTTGGACCGCTTCCCTTTGACAGTATTTGTACATTTAATTCGAATACCACAGGGATTATCAAAAAATTCTATAAACACAATTGAAATGTTAAATTTACTCCAAAACCTTTGACTTACATTTTACATCACTCTTTACATGTATAATAACAGAGAATATCAATGGAAGAGGATTTTAATCGTTTAAGAACGAAACAATAGCCACAGGCTGTCACATAAGTTATATCTTTGTGAAAAATACTTTTACCGTCCAAAATGATTGATCTTAATTTTCATAATTGATCATATCATTCTAAGATAATAACATATCCTCATTGTGTATTACATTTGAGCCTGTCAACGTGCGAGATTGTATTGGACTTTCTGCAGTGACTGTGAACGTGTGCTTTTATGATTTTGTTTCTGTGATTGCGCGCGTCTGCATGCATGAGTTTTGGCGGGAGAGAGATGGCCGGAGGCGCGTCGTCTGACGAGTGTCAAACTGACAAGGGAGGGAACGTAATTGATTATGCATGTTCTCACACTCTCCACCCCCGGGCAAACGTCACAAACTGTCTACAACGTGAGGAAACTGTAACTAACAGAATAGAAGTATCAATAAATTCTGTGTGGAAATATATAATTAGATCTGAGTCTGGCACAATCTTTGCCAACCTACAATTTAAGACGGTTTCAACCAGGATGGGGGCTTTATCTTGCTAAATGTAATTTATGATCACGATTAAAATCTTAGGTCCCAAACAGATTTTGCACTATTTTATTAACGACATTTCTAATCCCTATGTGCTCAGTAGAATATAGATAATAAGCCCAACAGGCTTTATAAATTTTACTTATTTTATTTATGATTAAATACTGAGTTATAGTTTTGTGAGGATAACTTGAGTCAGAACGTTCCCTTGCCAAAGCATGCTTAATAAAAGACTTAACAACTCATGTATAGTTTCAATTAAGTGTTTGTGTCTGTATACAAGAAAATAAAACATATAAACAACAATATAATTAGTTTTAGTTTTAAAAAGAAATTGAGGCCAATAACCAAATATAGAATAGCTAATAACAGTTGGTTCTGAAATAATACTTTACGTTTGAAGGAAATCCTTAGAGAGAAGTATATTATGCGGACGGTAGCTGAGGAGTTTTTAACGAGTATGCAGTTAGCTCGTAATACGCATTTTCTTCACAGTGATTTAAGAGAGATAGAACTGGCGAGCTCCATGTAAGTAAAGAGATCAATATTAATGAAGTCAGCCTCTCTGAGTTCATAAAGGCAGCTCTAAAAGCATACCTGTATGTTTAACTATGTACTCTTGCCTGTTGTACGCTGAGTCGTCTCTACATACAATCTGCTCTATGATAACAGTTGTATTGTACTAAATTCACACATACTTCCTCCAATGGACGTTTCCAGCTCAGTAAAGGTACTAAATTATGCAATACTAAACTAAATGTTCTTAAATTTCTTAGTGTTCTGTTATTTCCTGTGCTATATTATTTTTATGGTTACTTAGTATAATTGTATTCGAAGTTAAAAATTATAGTTAGTTTTTTTTCTAGATTGAATTTTATTTAAATATACTGAAGGGTTGACATTAAATACCATAAGAAGATTTTTCACCTTTTTATATAGTATACAAACTTGTTGATTTATGTTTCATAATCGGTTACAGTTGAGTGCACTGATGTCGGTCGATATTTTGTTACTTATTTTAGGGTTAATGGACATTTAACTGTTTGATTAAAGTACTTGACTGTCACTATTATTTGTTAATAGATCAATGTTCAAACGCATAATACAAAATACCATACGAGGTCGTACCTTAAAATAACCTTACACAACAAATCATTGATGTGGAAATCCAAATAAATATTGGATTTAATTTCAGATTTGTGTGACAGCAGTTAAATTTTTTTTCGTTAAATTTGGTATGGGCTTATTATTTTCAAAATTACGTAATTTATCATTAGCAATTAACTGCATATATTAAATTATTTATTTCAACTGTACTCACCCTGGAATTTATGTCATATACGGACAAACACAACCATGTTTGAAAAGGACACCAATGTTTTTACGTGATGCAATTGTTTACGGTCCTTCTTTTAGGTTAAACCCAATTTTCTTTCCTGTAATTGTTTATTTTTCCTCTTAAATGTTTTACTGGTAAAAGAAGATCCACCTTATCCACGAAGCTCGGGCCAAGGTAGCTACACTAATGGCAGGGTGTGTAGTTGATTGTAACTCCCCTTGTTCTGTCTCTGTTTTTACACGCGATGTGATAGATTAAATGCTTCTCCCTTTCCTAATTGAAATATCTAATCAATAACAACAAACCTGGGGAATAAAAACTGTGGTTGTGTACAAACTAAACATTGTAAATGTAATATGGCTTATCAAAATGTTGATTATGCGCTTTAATTAGTGTTGTTTCTTGTATGATAATTGTAAATGCAATCGGGAAACTGATTATTAAAATGAATGAACAGCTGTGTCAAATCTATTGCCCTATTATTAGTTGAGTATTTCAATACACACGTGGCAAGCTAGGAAATTGAATTTAGAATCCTCTTACACGTGTTATAAGACCCTGGTATAGAAACATTCACTTGCAACCCTTATTTATGCATATTTTCTACTTGAATCCCATACACATAATGTATGCCTATTTCCGCTGGAGTCCAGTGCAACTCTCAATGGTAGTCATACAAAATAATTTGGTCCTATCAAAGAAAACGCAAATAAAATATATTTTTTTAATATTTAACCCCTACAACAACGATTTGGTTTTTCTGACAACCAGTTAAATGTTGAAAGGGCATTTTATAAAGTTTCTGCAAAGAAACTATAATTATATTTATAACCATCGTCCTTATAGAATTAGACAGCTTTAAATGTTTAAATTAATGTGGTGACAAAGCAAAACTGTATATATCAACGATATATCTCACGATCTATTACTAATGCAGGCCGAAAGATTGTCTCTTCTGCTCATTTTCAGTTCGTAATCATCCTCGATGCAGACGTTTCATTTTTTGACATTTAAGGGACATGACGTTGTAAGCTCAATGATGCTAATTTTCATTTCAACCCTGGAATTGACACAGCATCGTGACATTGGCGCTGGGAAGGCTGTTAGTTGATTGGTGAGAGCCTCCGGGAGCCCTCGTCATCCCGCGGCTGTTCCTCCTTATATCGCAATTATAAAGTGTTTCACGAGGTATTTGTTACACCTATTCAACCTTTGTTAATAAATACGAATTGGTTTAACACCTAGTTAGATGTTTTCTTTCTTCGTAAAACTGAAAATAACTACTTTATCGTGATGGCAATGTGAAGTCTTTGATTTTAACACTTGTAATCTTCTATATGTATTTACCGTATTATGAGTAGTAAACAGTATAAGTGTAAATATAAATAACAATTGTTATTTGACGTATTTTTGTGCTTTCAGGGGAAAAAAGACCAACGAGAGGCTTGTAAAACTAAATTGGGTTTAAGAAATATTACTTGTTACTACAATAATTACTTGGCTGTGCGATTTCTATTTTATGCTGATCAAGGTCATTCAATTTTTTCGAGATTCGACTACTCAATTGCTGATTTCGGCATCGAATGACATTAACTAATTGATACAATTGCTTTCAGGTTTAAAATATATTCTTCTTAGGGTTCTAGTAACCTTTTGGCTTAAAGAAGATGTCACAGTTAACTCGGTTTATTCTACAGTCCAATAAATAAAACCAGTATG